TTCAAAGTCAACCTGGCAGGAAAGTCTGTGAGACTCTTATCTCCAATTAATCACTAGAAAACTGTAAGTGGCACTGTGGATCAAGCGGTAGAGCGCTAGCCTTGAGCTGAAGAGCGCAGAGACAGAGTTCAAGCCCTATGACTGACAAAAACAAAAAGAAAAACAAAAACAGAAAACAAAAAAACTGCAAACAAATAAAATAACCTTTGGCAACTATTCTCAGATTGATTTCCTTTTGTCTCCACATATAGCATTCTCTCCATTGTACATTTCTGAAATACACATGCACACACACACAATCACACACCCCTGTATAGATATATTTGTGTTTGATGTCTAGTTCATAGCCACATATGATTTGCTACTACCATACGGGACAATGCAGGTATGGAGTATTTCCATCAGTACTTAATGTACTATTAGAATATACATATTTTTGCTGATCATAGATTACTTTAACATTCCCTGGATGTAAATGATTTCAGGATATTTAATTTGTCCTGAAAGAACTGTGTACATTTGTAACTAGTTTTTATTTTATTTATTTATTTTTTACTGTAACTTCTAGTCCTACATACCTATACTCTTCTTTGCTGAGACATTTATCCTTCACTGAAATGATCAAAACAAAGGTAAATGCACTCTCTTTCTCTCATCTGTTAGTTTGTACTTTTACCTCCAAGTAGTTATAATTCTTTGAGGGGCAGTGGGAGAAATATAGTAGAACTCTTTTGTTATTCTTTGGATTTACCTCAATATCGGGTTGTTTTAGAATTTATGATTTTTCTTTTTTTTTTGTAAATCAATGGCTAATTTAATTAAAAATGGAAACCAATATTTTTATCAGTAGTTACCATTTTCTACAGCACAAACTTACTGTTGTAGATCACTTTTGATTTAAATGTTTGGATATGAAATCAGTATGGTCCAGGTTTTTTCTATTGACATGAAACATTTTGAAGCTAGTAAAAGTTTAAATAACAAAAAAGCACAAAGACCCTCCAATGAATTGATCTATTTTTAGTATTTTAGAATATTTTTTCCTCTTACATTTTTAATATACCTGTCTGTACATATTTATATGTACTTGTTAATTCATATATATTAATATATATTCAAATATACTGTATCATATCAAGTAATAGACCCAACTCTTCATCAATAATTGCTCCTGCATAAAATACCAAACATTAAGAGCTATATCACAGTATATATAATAGGAATAAAATTATTACATAATTCCATTTTACTATCCAGTACCTGGCCCATATTCAAAATTTTACAACTGGCTACAGATTAGTTTTAATATTCCTTTATAGGATTCAAATCTTTTCTCATGTCTCTTGTATCTTTCTAATCTGGAAGAATGCTCTTTCCATTTGGCAGCTACTTTGACTTACTTGAAAAGCCCAGGCTATGTTTCTTGTAGAATATGCCAAATTTTGGACTTACCTGTCTTCAAGTCTGACTTGTTATGTTATTCTCTGCATGTCTTTTAAATTTATATTTACATGTAGACCTGGATATCTCAACCTTTGCACTAATGACATTTTAAACTAGATAGTTCTTTATTGGTGCAGAACTGTCAAGTGCATTGATCCATCAGATGCAATTGACAACGTCCACATGTCAGTTTATGATAACCAAAAATGTCTCCAGAAATTGCTAAATATGCCATGTGGAGAGGATAATGGAATAGTCCCTGGCTAGAAACATTATGCAGAGGTATAGGTAAAATAATTTTGGAAAGAATATTTGTTATATGATGGATGTGTAGTTACACAGCATTAGTAAGCACTTACCACCAGACTGTCCCATTTGTTATTTCACCTTCAATCACTTGTTTAAGGCAAGGTTTGATAATGGTAAAGGTACATTTCCCCTTTTTGTTATGCCTTGACACTTGAGACAACGTAAGTGTAATAAGTATTTAAAATCTTCTTTCACTGAAAGGCACTGACTGCTTACTTGGTCCCAAGCACTAACTAAGGGCAGAAGAAAAGCTTGGCATATCTGCTTTCACTTTATATGTGTCATTGCCATAAGCTATTCTCTCCCCAGTCATTGTGCCTTCACCTTGGAATCTGGGAAGGACAGGACTCATTAATAACATCTTTATGACAAGGGATTAAAATTACCCCTAAGGAATAATAGACCTTCTTCAGGAAAGACCATCTACAACAATGACTTGCTTATCCTAATAATCCAAGACTGATAATTATTTCTCTAGCATTCTTTCCTATACAAAGACTGAAACAATGATCAAGCATGTCATATTTTGACCACAACTGTTTATTCTGTATACTTCTCTCTTCCTACCTTCAGTTCTCTGTATATAAAAAACTAAAACTCATGTCTGTATCCTGAATTGTGCTGAAGATGTACTGAAATGCTGTCTTGCTGTGGCTGCCACATATTAAATCTTTCTCTGGCCTTCCTTTATTTGGCAAACAAGTTTTTTTAATCTAGTGTCTCTTAGTAAGCTTCAATAAATTGTGATAATTTGTTCTGTATTTATAATCTGGCACTCTTCAGAAAGGAAAGGTTTCTCTTGTATAATTATAGTGATACTCCAAACTCAGGCATTATTAAATGTATTATCAATTTTTATTCCTGATGCTCTTATTCTTCCAAATTTTTCCAACAGGAGACTCCTATTGAAACAGGGAATTCAGTGCTTCATAGTGCACTTTATTGAAGTTAAGCATAATGCAATGCAATGGTAACTTATTACACTGCATGTGAAAACAAATGTTTAAAGCCTTTTATTTATCTGGGGAAGAACGGGTGATTGAGATAATAGATCATTTTGTCAGTGAACAAGTTATATTAATTGAAAGATGTAAATAACTGGTAAGAGCACATTTAATAATGTTAGACTGCCAGAAAACCACGTAGACACTCAGGTACTGAGAACAAAGAAAGGTTTTTTGCTAGGAAAGGGGCGGGCAAGACTCCTTTTCACAAGGGAGAGAAGCCTGCTATTGTCTGAGGTGACTTTGATAACCTACTGAGCCTAGAAGGGGCTGGAAGGGGCTAGGAGGTAGAGCCCCTGGTGTGGAAGTGAGGACCAGGGGCTACATCATGGCAGACCAAGATTTATGGCTGCTGCCCAAGTAGTAGATAAGGGACCCTGCAGCTGCCCAGACCTGAAGGGTCACTCCAAGGGGCTCTTGTTGCCTTATTTGTTGGCAGTTGCTCCAGAGGAGTGCCATCTCAAGGCAAAGGGGGGTTGGATTGTTTACTGCCTTTACTAAATGGGTCTAGTGTTGCCTAGGAGGGAGCATGCCAAGCTGTGGAGAGGGGAAGGTGAGTACTAAGTTATGGGAAGGGAGCTCATTGGGCTAACAACCAACAAAAATCACTGGCAAATTGAGTCTATTTGCCTTTAAAATAGTATATTGGACACACATATATATATAATATTTACATAATTAATACATAATATTTCTATACACATGTATATTACTGCTTTCTGGATAAGTTATGCCTACAAATGACCTAAACATCGTCAGTGACCACCAAATTGTAAGCAGGATGTAGTTACATCTGATTCTTAAAGTGATTACATTTTTTTGGAATCATGTGTCTGATAGTAAATTTCATAGTACTTTATCCAAAAAAAAAAATCACTAATGCAGAAGCAGAAATTCTGGGAAAGGCAAACGGAATACTTTAAAATAAGAAAATCCGTATTGGGGAATTTTAGCTCTACTCAGAATAATTATCTCCTTTTCTTCCATAACTACCAAGTTCTTTCAAAATCCTGGGAGTTGGCCTAATCTCTCAGTCCCCAGCTCCAAGTTTGTGCTCATGACCACGATATTTATCACTCAGCCTAAGTAGCTCTGGCGAGAGGTGAAGATGGAGTTTTTCTAACAGTTTGCCTCTGAAACTTGGCACCTAGTAAACGGTGCCACTCCTCCCCCACCGTAGCCATAAGTGTGCCCCACGGTAGCCAAACAGATGTAAGACCGAAAGGACTAACAAACTTTCCAGTAGCATCTCCCGCCCGCAGCGTCTGCCGATTGCTCCTCTCTGATTGGCTGGAGTGGGTTCAGGTTGTCCAATCACACTGGAGCGTCCTCAGCGCCGCACGGCGGCGACGTCGCCGCGCATGCTCACTTGGGGACCGGCCGTGGGCTTCGGCGGTGGGCTTCAGCCCTCCCGAGTGTCGGCGAAGGCCGGTCCCTACCGGGCCGTGGGAACCGGGCCTGGTAGCGGTTTAGGCCGAGGTCGCAAGGCCACACTGGGGTATGGAATCGCCGGGCAGGAGGGCGACCGGAAAAACACACGTGGACAGCACAGCCTGGTTCTCCTCTGTTTCCTAAAGCGCAGCCCATTCACTTCCAGTGTGCGGCTAAGACCCTGGACCACCCGAGCTGCTTTCTTCCTAAGTCTTGGCAGACCGGAAGGCGAAGTGAATGGAGCTAGTCTTGACAACAAAGAAAACTTTTCTCCCGTGCCGAGTAGGCCGGGGACACCTCTGAGTCGTCCTGCACCCAACGTGACCTGGTTAGCGCCGACCCGAGCCTCCTCCCCTTGTAACTCTAGCGCTCCCCGGCCCTCTCCGGGTGACCGGAAGCGCGGACCTGACTTTCTACAAAGAACCTCTCCAACTAGTTTCCCCAGGTGTGCAACTCTGAAACAAGTGGCCCCAAGAACACCAGGAAGCCTCCGGTGGGAAGGCTAAAGTCTGCGCAGTCCGGGTGTAGTAAACCGTCTCCGACTCCAATCCCGGACCGCGTCTCCCGGCCCCGCTCTCCGGGGCGCCCCGCAGCCCTCCCAGCCCACACCAGGCCGGCCCCTGCGGCCGCTCGGAAAACGCGGCGAGCGGAACCCGCACGCGGAAGCGCCCGCCGCACGGAGCATGCCCAGTTGTAGAGCCGACCAGAGGAGTTTTTTTTTTTTCTTCTTTTTTCTTTCTTTTCTTTCTTTTTTTCTTTTTTTTTAAAAAAATAAATCTCAACTAGGAGGCCTCCCCCCACCCTCACTCCAGCCCCCCCACCTCCCTCTGGCACCCCCCGGCCTAAGCAGCTAACCATGGCCGAGGCCCCCGGCGCGGCGTTGTCCCAGGCGGGTTGGTAAGTGGTGAGTCCCGCCGGCGGCCGGGCCGCGGGCGCGGGTCGGGGCCCCTGGGAGGGTCGGGGCTTGGGGTGGTGGGGTGCGTGTCGGGGTAGGCGGAGGCCGCCTACCGCCCCCAGGCCTTTGGGCCCTCCGGGGCCGGCTCCGCCCCCGGCGCCACGCGGAGCCCCAGCGAGTCCTCCCGGTTCCCTTCGGGGCGGCGGCTGCGGCCTGGGCCCAGGCGGCGGGCGGCGGGCCCGGCGAGTGGAGTAGATCGGGACCGCGGGGAAGGGCTTTGTAGAGGCGGGTTGCCGCCAAGGCCCGAGCCGCGCCGCCCGGGAGAACCGGGCCAGGCTCTTCCGTGCCGCGCAGCAGCCCCTGGGGTGTCGCTGACTTGTGGGACCGGAGGAGACTGTGGGACTGGAGCACCGAGGGCTGCGGTGCGGGGCGGCCACTGCCGGCGGGGCCGGCGGGAAGTTGAAGGCAGAGCGGAGCCCGGCCCGCGCCGCCGCCGCGGGGGCCGCCCGGGTCTCCTCGGTACCGAGGAGGGCGCGCACCGGAGCGAAGCCGCCCTCCGCCGCACGCCTCAACTCCTGAAGCTGAAAATGGCCTCGTTGTCAACTTGTGCGTGCGTGTGTGTGAGTGTGTGTGTGAATGTGTGTGTGTGTGTCGGGGGTGGGATGGGAGCGTTGCCCCGTGCAACTTTTCTTGGAAGAATGGCGTTCTGATTTTTTAAAAAAAGACTTTATGTTAAAGCTTTAAAGTCTGAAAGCAATGAAAGAAAACGCGAAATGAAACAGTTTCTGGATCTGCTGCGGCCATTACTGTTGTAAACACCCAGTTTAATTCAGCAAAACGATCGTCCCCCCCGGTTGGACATAGGGACAGTTGGACTTATGGATAGGTTTTAAAAAGGGAGTGAAAAGATTTGCCCTGGCTTTCAGAAATTACCGCCTTGGAGAGTAGGAACAGACAGCAAGGAAAGAACAGGCGGAAGGGGAAGTGGGGGGGAGGGAGGGAGGGGAGGAAGGAGGGAGAGAGGGAGGGAGGGAGGGGATTTGTGAACTGTACCGTGCTGGGGGAGAGTTAATTTCCTAGAGAAGTGGGCTTTGGAAGATGATGAAGAGGGGGAAAAAAGGCTTTGGGCACCGTCAGAAAGTGTATTGTTTCGGGTACAGTAGGAGGATGTAGAGTTAAGATGACCCAAAAGGAAGGTAACCTTCCAGAGGGAGGCACTCGTGCCTCAAAGAGGTGCATTTGATTTTGGGAAGAACGTTTCCAATCAGCAAAGCGAAGGACTTACACCTGGGTTTTGGAGATGTTGTTTTACAGGCACTTTTATTATCCTATGTGTGCGAAGGATTATTAACTTCCCTCCTAGGGATGTAGCTGAGAAGTGGTGGTGTTTGAGACTAAGTGCTTTTAAACTTTATTACCACCAGTTCTGTCCCCTCCTTCTCCTCCTCCTTTAGAACACCATTGCTACAAGTTGTATCAATTGCACCTCACTGAGTTTTAGTTTTGTTCTTTTTACCAGAGTTTCTGTTTACCTCCCAGGCTATCTTGAAAGATCTCGGACCACCCTTCTACTTGAATTCTTCCCTATTCATTAGACTGACCTCAGTGCTTTAGATCAATATGATTTTATTTGTAAATTTATTTTATTTGTAAATTTTATTTGTAACCCCACTTACCCTGGAAACGTTAGTCTTTTTTGGATCCAAATTCTATACTAAATTTGGCTGCTTTGGACTCTAAAGCTCCTTGAGAGCGGGGAACCAGCTAGTTTTCTATGTATCTGTAATGCTAAGGGGGCGTATACTATTTTGTAGGTTCTCAGTAAAGTTAAGGTATAGATGATCTTGGAATGTACCTGCCAGTCAGAGTTCTCCTCTCTTTGTTAGATTGTTCTAACTCTCCAGTGATGTTACATCATAGCCTTGCCACTTTTTATGGCAAGTTTTAAGTGTTTGCAGGAATTCTTTTCTCCATCAATCTTCTGCTTCTTTATGGTAGTTTAAATACAGAATCTCAAAGGTTTGGAAAGTTGTTATTTTTCCCCCCTTCTTAAGTCTCTGGTGCTCCGTTGTCCCTACAGAAACCTGTATTTTAAGATATAAATTTAGTAGTAGCCACCCTGGTAGTCTGTCCCTCACCCTGTATCTGTTTTTTCTTCTTCTCCTGAATGGTCCATATAGTACCCAAACTATTTGAAGTCAAGCATTTCAAGGAATTCTGCAGTACAGTGGTGATAATTTAAATAATGTGGATATAGTATCTTGGTCCTTTTTCTTTTCTAAAAGCTATACTGGTTTGAACTCCAGGCCTCATACCTGATCAGCTTGCTTTCTAGACTGGTGCTGTACCACTTGACCTATGTCTCCTTCCCCACTCTTTGCTGGTTATTTCCTGTAGAGTTCACCCTTGTGAGAGGTCCCACTTCCTCTCTGCATTTGTCTGCCTTCCTTCCCTTGACCTCATTGCCCCACAATATATATTCTTGCTTCCTAGTACTAACAAAACTGAGAATCCTTCTCAGCATATAGCCTACTTTAGATAATATATCTGTGTATATATGGATATGACTTTGTATATAAATATGAGATTAAAAAATCCAGAATTATGAAATACCTTTTCATTAGCAGTTTGACATAAATACTCTTGGAAAGGACCGGAACCATTATAATATCTTCTAGATGTTGAACAAAGCTAGAAGAAACCAAGTACTTTTATTAATTATTTAAGGGATATATATTGGATTTTTTCCCTTTTTTGAAATATTTTCTTTTTCTTCAGTGAACATTTGTAATGGTCTTCTAGGATTATATTGTTTGAAAAATTAAAATGTTCACATGTAATTTGACATGTTGGCTTTATATCCTTAAAACCTATTATATATTTTCTTATTGCTTCCACTGACACTGTAAACTCCTAAAAGTGTTTGGGAATATTGTTAAACTTTTCAGATTTTAGGTTGCAATTTGCAGTGATTTTTGTGTGTGTGAACTATAAATCTAGTTCCAATTGCCTGTAGACTTGACTACTTCAAGCATTCAGAAGTTATAAAAAGAAACTTGCTACCTCAGCATGTTGAAATAATTTTCTTCTTTTACATAGCAGCATTTGCTAAATCATCTAAAAATTGCATGGTAATGTTTCAAGAACCATAAAAATAGTACGACATCAATTTATTTTAGCTTATGTTTTCTGCTTTTGACAAAAGAATAATAGTGGCATTTTGACTTATGTTAGTTATGTACCATCAATCTAAAAATTCTCCTTTTATGAAAGGAAGCATCTCGAAGTCGCTGAAGAACACTTCAAAGTAATTTTTAGAAGTAGATTGTGCTCCCAACAGTGCCAAAATTTTAGCATAACTTTTGAGAGAAACTTGAGAAACTGTAGAACAACAAAGAAGAGTGGAGAGAGTATGGCAAGAAATGTGTGAGTGATAATGTAAAGTATTAAGAAGAATGTCAAATCACAGATAAAGAGCAGAAAAGAATTGCATTATGCTCCAGGGCTGAATGCCAGTGTGTACCTAACCTGTACCTTACCTCTATGGATTTCATTCTTGTATGAGTCTTATTCTCTTTCTATTTCTCTTCACTTCTTGCATGTATTACAGTTTTATAGCCTTTAGAGACAACTAGCTAGCTACTCCCTCCCCCCATTTCAGTACAGTAATATTACTAAAGGGAGATACCTTTATAAAGTCAATAGAGAAATTTGTATAATTCTGTACAATAAGCTGTGAACAAAATATGCCTAGTAAATGCTTATGTTTCCTTTATGCAAGGTACTTTTTATTTTGAGGCTATAATGATGCAAGAGAGGACAAATGTAAACATGTTATATGCTGATCTTTTTCATGTAAGGTTGATGTTAAAACATATTTGAGCAATTAATTCAGACTTGGGAAGTCTGAAAAGCCTTCTTTAGAACTAATATGGTAAAAGCAACATTTGTTGTATGTATCTTAGTATTGTGTCTGGTATTTGTCTAGGGATGAAAACAAGGCAAGTTCATCAATACTCTTATTAGCACACACTGATCATTACGTTCTTGCAGACATTTTGTTTGGTGTAATCAGATGTAGTCTTAAGGAGAGAAAGTTATTACATATTTAAACATTTTTCATCTTTAAAATACAGTAGGAGAAAAGACATTGTTCCATGTGCACTTAGGAAGGGAAATTTGGCCTCCTCATGTGGATCAAAGAATGTCCCGTTGAGCGCTAGAGGATGAGTGGAAATTAAATAGACTAAATTAGAGAGTAGCACCTGCAAAGGTACCAGGGCAGTAGGGAGCATGGTGATTATAAAGATCTGAAGGATCATGGTGGCTGTGGGGCAGCAGAGAAGGTCAGTGTAGTGAGATATGGCAGGGATGTACTTAGGAGTAAGTCTTGTTGCTTGGATCTTTTACACTGTGTAAAGTTGTGTTAATAGACAGCAGTTGAAGAGTTTTACTCAGGGAATATGAGGCCAAGGTAGAATGACATCAAAGTTAAATTTTGAAATATTCTTGGACTGAAGAAAATGGTGGTGATGGTTGCAATAGAGAGTAGTACATTGATTTGAAAGAAATTAGGAAAATGGACAGAACTTTCATGGGTTAGGTGTTAGGAGTGACAAAGGAAGTGTCAGGAAGTGCATGTCTGCTTTTCAGAGTTGTATACCTAAAATAATTACAATTCACTTAGGTAGGGAACATTTAGAAAATGTTCACATTTTGGGGGTTTAGGCCAGAATCATAGTTGGGTATTATTTGATATGTATGATTTTCCATTCAGACATCTAAAATATCAGGCATTATGAAATAAAAGAAATCATAAGAAAATACAAGATCAAAATTTTGAAGGTAACTGGTTATTGAACGAAGGCATGGATCAGATCATGTAAAGCTGTACTGCTCAGTATGGTAGGAATTAGCCACTGTATTGGTCAGCTTTCTATTAATGTGGCAAAATGCCCAAGAAAAACAAATTGAACAACCAGGGTTCATTTTGACACATGGT